GTATGTGAGCTTGTATGACTTGGGATCCGTACTCGAGGTAAGTTCACCCAAAGTCACAAGAAACTTCATAAGGACGATCAATGATTTAATTTCAACAAAGATGTCACTAATGAATCTCTTTCAGCTACATTGTCTTCTTTGCAATTTAACCAACCGCAACATACTCTAAGTTTGCAAAATCCATTATGGTGTAATACTTGGTACTCTTCCAACCTAAAACTTTACCATTCAGAGAAGCATGAAATTCGACTGCAAACGGAAACGTCTTTATTAGTATGGAACTTATCATCAATGTAACTCTTACAGTGATCTCTTCTATACTATCAAGATCATATCTTCTGTCCTCCAAGGACACTTAAGAATGTTCTTGATCTTGATTCATTGATTCTTGCCAAAATTGAACTAATTGGTACACGTTATGACATATATGATCGATCCCATAGCAGAAGCATGTGGGACACAAATCATTTTCTTTAGCTCAATATTAGAACCAGGACATTAACATTGCTCAATGTCATGCTATATTGTAATAAGCCTAAACTCCTTTTCGAGTTTCCTCAACATTCCATGTACTTTGGCTTAATCCAATGAATCACTTTGATCTATCTCCATAGATCCTTACTATGCATGTGTCTTGCATCTCCCATGTATATCATAGCGAAACAGTTCTCATACCAAGCCAAGCTTTTACACCTGCCAAAATAGATCATGAAACTCTTTCACAATCATTTAGATGATCGATAAAGTTTAGACTAAGATTCTCACTATGAGTGTCTCATCCTATTGCCCAATTTATTCTTAACTTCGCTATATGAGAGCTCTGAACACCTCAAAGGTTCCAGACTCACATTCATACGAAGTTGGTCTCACTATGTATCATGGTTAATCTGAACGGTCCATTAGTGTGAACTAATTCCAATAGATACTCACATCACCCAGTGACACATTCATCATCTATCTTGATAAACAAGATTTGCATTTATCATAAGACTCGAGGTCAAATGATATCCAAAATCTGATCCAACTGGATACTTGGTAATGCATTTCTCATTTATGTATCCAATACTATGATTCCACAAATACATTTCACCCAAACATTTGGATGTATTTGAATAAGTACTTATTATGATCAACCTGAACGATCCATTAGTTGAACTAACATCAATAGATATTCACAATAATACACCTTATTCAAATGTTCGAATCAATTTTGAACTATTGCTACTAGACTAGACTCATAGATTTCATGACTTTCTTTTAACATGTCAGAATGATCCACATTTAAATAAGTCAGAACTATCTCATGAATCATAGTATAAACTATTTCAATTATAATACCATAGACTAATTAATTATTAACCATAATAATTAATAAACCAATTTCTCCTTTATTTATTCTACTCAAATTAGGTCTTGAGGGCAACCAAAAAGGACCCTGCTATTATTAGAAATATTACCAATAGTTAATGACCTTGGACACTATTCCAACATAATGAGGAAAACTCACCTCACAAGTAGCTTTAGATGATAATGTCAAACTCCTCCAAATACAACTCCAACTCAAACACCTACATCTACTAATGATCCACTTCCAAAAATTCTCAAATTACTAAAAATACCCCCAAAAGTCAAAATGGTCAACCCTTGGTCAAAGTTAAAGTCAACGATCAAGATCAACAGTCCATGTTGACCCAACTCGTTGAGTGTAGCTCACTAACTCGTTGAGTCCTTCCAAAACTCGAGAAATCGTGAAAACCCTAGTTGACTCGCCGAGTTTTCAAACAATCGTCGAGTCTATAGTGGGCCATCTGAAATCTTACTCAGAAATCATGGTTAGCGTACAGTCGGGTATGCCCCACATACTCTGATAATTTGGTCTTGGCGTTGTTTGGGCCTTGGGTTGGGCCATATTCTTGAAGCTTGTTGATTTGGGCCATAGTGGGCCATCTGCAATCATGGTTTTAGGCCAAGGAGATGTTTGGGCTTTAAGGTAAGGCCGATTAAAATGATTTTGGCCCAATTTGGAAAATTAGGCCATAAGTGGGCCACTATTAAGCTTTGAAATATTATTTAGCTTTGGGCCTTAGTGGTTTGTGGTTTTGGACCTTAGTTATGGATCAAGATAGGCTAGGGGTAAAATAGTCATTTTACCTAAAGTATGGATTATTGGTATGGTTTGGAACCCACGTTTTGATTGGGTGTTATTTTCTCTGATAGCTTGGGGAGTCGTCAGGGCAGCAACTAGGGTTTTCTGATGTGAGATTCAACTTTCGAGGTGAGTTTTCCTCCATGGGTTTAGCGGGTTAAGGTACCAATGTCGGCCCTTGTTGATATGTTAGGATGCTAGGAGTCTACGTGATCCTTGCATGTGTTATGTACTACTATGCGTACCGAGCGGGGCTCGATGCTAGACGAGGCCCGAGGGTTGGAATATATGTTGTTGTTTATGATTTATATATGTGTTACCAAGATTATATGATATTGATTGTATGTGTATAGTGGGTGAGGGCCAATGATAGACGAGCCATTAGAATAACAGATCTGTATATCGAGTGAGACTCGATGTCAGGCGAGGTCCGAGGTCGGGAGGAGGCCCAATATGTGATTATCTATGTATGGTATGGGGTAGCTTGGGAACTCACTAAGCTTTGTGCTTGCTGTTTTTAGTAGGGTTGTGCATGGGTAGGTTTGGGTCGGTTTTGGACCCAAACCCAGCCCAACCCATAAATGGTCGGTTTCTAATTTTCCGAACCCAATAGGATCGGTTTCTGGTCGGTTCGGTTTCTTGGGTTTTGAGGTCGGTTTGGGTGGTTTTTCGGTTTCTTGGGTTCAACCCATACATTCATGGGTTCTGGGTTTTAACCCATTTTCCATAAATGAAGCAACAAGTTAAATACTTCAAAAAACACAAAATTTAAGTTAAATACTTCAAAAAGCATGAGTCTTACAACAAATAGTCTATTACAGGTTACAACCAAAACCCGAAATAGTTTATTACAACCAAAAAACAATCAATAATGGGACGGTTTCTCAGGTTGGATGGCTCGGTTTCTTGGGGCAGTTTGTCAGTTTTAAGAATAGGTTGGTTTATCGGGTTGGATGGGTCGATTTCTGGGTAAAAACCGAAACCAAACCCGATTTTTCGGTTTTTTAAAAATTCAAACCCTAACCGTTGGTTTTGCTTCGGTTTCGGTTTCATCGGTTTTAGTCGGTTTCTCAGTTTCTTGGTTGCTCACCCCTAGTTTTCAGTTATGTTTCAGGTACTTCCGGTTGCAAGGGGAAGAGCTCGGGTTGACTACATCGTACACATGATTGGGATTCCGCTTATGATGTTTTACTCTGATTTTATGACAATTGATACATTGGTTTTTATTTGAAATGTTTGGATGATTTTGAAAATACTATTTTATCTATTATTAGAAAAAAAGAAATTGGGACCATATTTTGGGATTTTACAACGTGTGGAAAGAATCATTGCATTCTTGCTTAATTTTTCGCTAGTTTTGGCAAATATTAAACACCTTGTATTAAACTTAAAATATGTGTCGTGTCGAAACAATAAACGGGTTGAGAACTTGACTCTGACCTGACCCCTTTAATTATCGTGTTATGTCATGTCATGTCACCAATTTTATTTTACCGTCGAGTATTGTCGGGTTTTAGGTTTGGATGGACCTTGAAAATTGTGTTGTCATATGATGTTGAAACACTAAACATAGTAGGAATGTATAGACCAAAAGGAAAATGTAAAAATTGGAAAAATAATAGTTAGGAGACAAATTACCACATTCATTGTAAAGATTAGAGGACAAAATTGAAATAGTAGAAGTTAAGGAGGAAGAAGGGCGAGTTCATGGGGAGTAGGTAGTGTCGAGAGACTGTATAGTTTGTGAGAAAACAAAAAATAAAATATTAACCTAGATGAGTAACCTGTTTCCGAATTGTAAAGAGAAATTATTAGAAAGTTTCAATATTTTCAGGAAAGTTACAGTTAGTCCCAATATTTTTTTAAACATAAAAGTCCTGATTATTTCATTTTAGTTCAAATTTATAAAAAAAAAATCACTTTTTCTTTTAGCATGAAATGACATATTATCGTGTTTGTACAAATAATCGGAGATTTTTATGTTAAAAAAATCTTGAAATGAAAGTGTAATTTTTCTGAAAACATTGAGATTTTTCTAACAATTTCCTATTATAAAATAACTAAACCCATAATTTTATTTATTTATTTACATATAGTTTTGGTTTTGAATCTTCTAAGACTATCTAAAGAATTCACAAAAAGATTAGATATTAAAAAAAAAAAAAAAAAAAAAGAAACTTGAGTTAAACTTTTTAACCGTAAACTTATGCATTTTTTTTTGGAAAAAAAATATATTTGATTTGATTATTATTATTATTATTATTATTATTATTATTATTATTATTATTATTATTTGGTTTTGAGTCTTTTAGGACTATCCAAAGAATTCACAAAAAGATTAGATATTCAAAAAAATAAAAACTTGAGTTAAACTTTTTAACCATAAACTTAAGCATTTAATATTTATAATGGGTTAAAATATTTGATTTGATTTGATTATTATTATTATTATTTCGTTTTAGTGTCTTCTAAGAATATCTAAAGAATTCACAAAAAGATTAGATATTTAAAAAAATAAAAGCTTGAGTTAAACTTTTTAACCATAAACTTACGTATTTAATATTCATAAATCCATAAATGGGTTAAAATATTTGATTTGATTATTATTATTATTATTATTATTATTATTATTATTATTATTATTATTATTTGGTTTTGAGTCTATCTAAAGAATTCATAAAAAAATTAGATATTAAAATAAGAAAAGCTTGAGTTAAACTTTTTAACCATAAACTTACGCATTTAATATCCATAAATCCATAAATGAGTTAAAATATTTGATTTGATTTGATTATTATTATTATATAATTATATTAATAGAGTGTTCATGGTTTTTGTTACATAAATCAGTATACTTTTTTCTTTCTATTTTTTTGCTTCGACCCATCCGATCGCTCCACGTTGCGCACAAGTGAGACGAGATTCATTCAGGTATGCCATTCTTAAATCGCAAAATTAGGGTTCTTCATTTCAGTTTATAAGTCATTCGGTCGATGAATCTATAATTCACGTCAAACATATGTTTCTATACTTTTCATAACGAGGGCAATTCTCTAATCACTACTTCTGAATTCTGATATGGTTATTTCCAAAACGTAGTTGATCTCGTCATTAATTTTATGCGTGCTTTCTTCTTTCCAGAAATAGTTGCATAATCGGTAAACGTTCAGATTCAGGTAATGCTGTGCAATTTCCGATTCTATCCTGATTTGATACAGAGGGAACAATAACCACCAATTTCATAAATAACCACACATTTTGCAAAAATCCCTTTAGTTTTGCGAAATTACTTTATGATCATTCCAACGAATTTCGACTATTTCTGAGAAAATTCCTTTTGCAAAATCAATGTAACGTCACCCATGAGAATGGGGTAAGGGGTAGATTGCATATATTTACCTTACAAATTACTCGCAGAATCGATTACTTGATGCATCCATCTCCAGAAACAAGTAAAAAAAGAGCAATTGAAGAGCTTAGCGACTCTCAGGATGACCATCATCCAACCACCATTACTCGTCAAAGAAGAGGGAACCGTGGCAATATGGTAAATCAAGCTAAGAAGTTGAACTCTGATAAAGTTCATAGTTACCTAGAGTAAGCTAAACTCTTATTTTTATTTATGTATTTTTCAATAACCAATAGTATTTACTTCCATTAACTTTTTTAATTAATCATAACAAACAACAATCATTAGAATGGCTCATTCCATTCCCTCAAGACAACCAAACATGATAATGGTCCATTCCATTCCTTTATGATTCCATTCCATCATACTAAACAAATCCTTAATTTTACGTGTTTTTGTATATCATGTAGGAATTTATGGCTCAGCATTCCAGAGGATAAAAAGAGTTCATTCACACATCTTGATCCATTGTGGTATACTTTGTACTCTAGTGACTCCAACAAAGAAAAGGTGTTGAATTGGATCAAGAAAAAAGACATATTTTCTAGAAAATATGTGGTTTTTCCCATTGTTCAGTGGTGAGTAATCCTTCAAAATTAAAACACATCAATTTTAGCATATTCTCTTATGTTTTTTATTGGAAAGTGGATGATATAAACAGAATGTGATTTTGTCAGGGGTCATTGGAGTGTGTTGATATTTTGTCACTTTGGTGAAAGCTTAGGCTCAAAATTCAAAACTCCATGCATTTTATTGCTGGATTCACTAGCAAAAGCTGATCATTCCAAGCAACTGGAACCTGTAATAAGAAAGTAATGTTTGATTTTGTAATTTTATACTCATCTTTTTTTTTTAATGTTTCTAGGGTTTGTTTGGTTCATTAGTTATGGTGGAATTGGAATTCGAGATTCCATTCCATTCCTACCAACAAAACTCATGACAGATTGCTGACTTTGGCCATGTCAGATTTGTTTCTGATATCTACAGGAATTTAGAGAGGACAGAGGATAAAAAATTGTTGCTTAAAATGCCATTTTTAGTTCCTAAGGTGACTTGATAGAATTTCTTGATTTTTTAAAAAATTTGATTTATTGAATGATAATATTAAAAAAAAAAAAGAGTTTTGAATTATCAGGTTCCACAACAGAGAGATAATCAGGAATGTGGTTTTTTTGCTCTTTATTATATAAAGCTTTTTGTTGAGAATGCTCCTGAAAGTTTTTGCATATCCAATGGGTACCCTTATTTTGTAAGTTCCTTTTGCCACTTTTTTTTTTTTTGCTTGAAAATACATAAGGGTATGTTTGGTATATATGATGGAATGGAATCACAAAGGAATGGAATGAGACATTCCATTCTATGATCATGTTTGGTTGGCTTGTAGAACGGAATGAAATTTCTATAGACAATACAATGTGTAATTTTTAACTTTATTTTCTACGTTGTTTTAATTGTAGTTAAGAATATTTTATTTACAAAAAAATGTAATGGAAGGTTATTCAACCCCAAATAAGCTATAAAAATAATAAAAACTAAAAAATAACTTTTACACCATATTCCAAATGTCTCTAAAACACCGTTTTACACACTTAATTATATCAAGAAATTTTATAGGTTATAAAATTTTCTTTTCTACAATTTTGACTCGAGTTTTTAAATTTTGTTATGAATTTTTGGTCCAAACATTTTTTTTTTTACAAATTTGCTAACTTTTTCTACAAGTTTGTTTTTACATGTTTTTAAAACTAAGTTCTTTTTACAAAATAACTATTTATACAACCTCTTTTATAACTTTCTTTTTTACAAATTAGTTTTCACAAAAGGACTTGTATTACAACTTTTGTTTTACATATTTGTTTTTCTGCATGTAAGGTTGTGAAAAACATGTAAAAGTTTCTTTTTTACATATTCGTTTTTATGCATGTTTTGTATGATTTTTTCTTTTTCAATAAATTAGTTTTTTTTTTTTTAATTTTTAATTTTTTACAAATTCATTTTCTAACTTTCTTGCATATCCATTTTCATATATGTAAGGCTGTAAAAAATCGTTTTGTTTTTATATATTTGTAAAAAAACTGAAGTTGTAGAAAAAATTAAGGCAAAAAGTTGTAAAAAGTATTTTTATAAAAAAAAAAAAACAATTTCTGTACGACCGAATTTATTAAAAAAAAACTAAGTTGTAAAAAACAAAAGTTCTAATATACATTTGAATGAACCAACTAATAATCTTTTGAGTGTTTGATTTTGATTTTAGATTTTGTTTCGTTTTGTATGTTTATGTGTTTGTAGATGAAGAAAGACTGGTTTAGTTTCGAAGGTTTTGATGAGTTTTGCAAAACTCTTGATTCTTCTCACAAATAGTTGGACTAGTTCTGTATAGACATTTTTTTTTTTACTTTTCTATGAAAAAAAGAGATGAACCAGCAAAGCCTATATCAAAATTGAGCATGTTTGTCTTCATTGGTGAAGGAATGAAGAACAAATTCAGTATTTGATTTCCCTTGATTGAAGGAAATTTCAGTGTTTGAAAATGAAAAACTAAACCCCTAATATGCAAAAAGTATTGATTTAACAAGTAACCTCAGTATTTGATGTTTAACATACAAAAATGCAGTGGTTTTGACATAAAACAAGGTAAAATAATTTTATAATGTAACCATATCGACATGCAAGATCAAAGATTAAAGTTGACTTGCCATTTTTTTTCTCTAAAAATACATAAAAAATTAGAAACAAAACACTAATTAATTAAGACAAATCTTCATAAATAGTCCATGTGGTTTTCTAGAATATCATGTTAAGTCCTTAATTTTTTTGGTCTAATGAATTGTCTATGTGGTTTAAAAACTTTTTATAGATAGTCATTTTGGCTAGCTCGTTTAGTTTTGATTTGTTAACTCACAACACATGTTAGACATGTGAGGGCAAAATCATTTTTGACAAACCAAATGGATCATTTATGAAGATTTGTCTACAATTAATTTTGACCTCTGATTTTATAACGACATATGATTGGATCATCCAACAATTTCATGTGTTTCCATGACAGTCGTTGTTGTAGCGTCTAAAGATCACCACACATAAACATTGCACATAAACACCACCATCACATGGTATAATAACATTTTGCAACAATAAGACGATTCAACAAAATTGCCTGAAAAATGTATGTTTTGATCGAGCAGATTCCAAAAGGTTGTAACTACTGATCTTGCAACTATTTTCTTATGAGAACAACATCCTCATATTTCCATTATCTACACTTTCATACACAATATTCTTGTGTGTTTGAATCACATACAATGTGTATAGTTTTGAAACAGTAAATCCAATAAAGTGTAACATCCTAAATTTCAAACCAAAAATTTTATTTTTAATTAAAAGCATTCATCCTAGTTCCATTCCCAAAAGATAAACAAATAATCATTTGTTCCAGTTTGACAACCATAATCAAAATCAGAGTAATAAAATATAGTGAAATTAAATGTATAGATTTCTCAAAAAATATCCAAAGATGTTATGCAATCAAACCACGTACTACCCATTGCTACTAGAGCAACTTGTAACATTTAAACTTTAACAAGTAAACATAAAGCTTAATGGGCTCTCCAAAATACCACGTACTCATGTGAATGTTATGATGTCATCATAGTCGTACGCTGCTTCTGTTGCTACATTACCACCACAGTCTTTCCTGCTCATGCAACTGTTATGGTACAACCATAGTTTTTCATACAATTATATGGTACCGCCATAATCTTTCATGCAAATTCATAAAGATAATATAGCATACCATGAAACCTAGTATCCTACATAGTATCATGAGTAATTAAGTGTCTTAATGGATAAAGTTTCGAACTTTATCCATATAAATGGCTCAAATAATCCTAATATATAACCCTAACTTAAAAGTGTACATGGCTCAAGTGGAATCCATTTGTAGACACTTTCCTATTCTCAAATGACCTCAAAATAACTTATATCCATTCCACGATTCTGGAGTTGCTCAAACTAAAAAAAAAACATCAAGTATAAAAAGGACCAAACGTGGCCGATACAAAACCAAAGTCTAGACCTAAGCATGTATTTGAATAAAACAAAGAACTTTATGACCTCCAAAGATCCAGAAGCACAAGAAAAGGATGGATCTTTAATGAATCAAACCCCCAAGCCCCACCAAGGTCTAAAAATCACACTAAATAAAAGCACCAGATCATACCTTCGATTCTTGGGGTCTAGTTTCTATCGGTGGCTCGAATTGATGAACATCATGACCAGAAACTAAGAAAATTATCCTAACCATCACAAGAGACGGAATCAATAACGTATTTACTTAAAAACTCTTGGTTCGAGGCTTTGAGCAACAAAGATAAAAAAAAATGATAGTCTTGAAGCTTTGTTCTTGCCATTTTGAACCAAAATTAGCATAAATTTGTTTTGAACAAGTGCGAACTGAAACTTTGCAAGAAAAACATTGTGATTAAAAAGTATCGGATGCACATAATAGTGAAAACAATAGGCACATAACATATATAAACCTAAATCACCAAATCTTCACCAAACTTACAATTATTTGATGGTAAAATCAATCAAAACAATACGCATTTAATATAATCAAGAACAAAGATCGAAAGAAGGTTTGTCTGTCTTGTTGACTTATTCAAGCTAACTTCATCAAGCACCCAAGTCATTGAACACTCAATCTAATTTGGGTTTATAAACAATGTTTACCCTCCATAAGACAAAAAAGAAAAAAAAAAGAAACTCAAGTTGATTGTTTGAAAAACCATAGGAATCGTTTTTGAAGATTTGTTATTAATTAATTATGAAGATAGTCATAAAAGTTTAAACTCCCCAAACAGTAGGGGTTTGTTGTAATTTTCGTTTTCCAAGGCCTCGACATTTTTGCTCCTATTTATCTTTGCTATAAATTAGAGTAGGGTTTCACTTCAAGTCTTCGTCTCAGCCGACTGCCGAACTTACGAACGAGGCTGCCATCGGATCTCTCAGAAGAAGGTATGACTGATGAATTAGTGTTCTGTAATTCCTTCTGTTTAATTGATTTCTAATCATATGAAATCAGCATCTGTAGACTTTCAAAACCAGCGCAAACTGTTTACATACTTGACGGATCTGTACGCTCGTCATGATTTTTAATTCTAGATAGTGTGTATAGTCATATTGAGTTCTAACGGTGATTAGGGTTTCGAAAAGTAGTTGCGTAATTGAATGGAAGTTGCAATTCACCAAGTAATTTTGTGTTGCTCTTGTGTCATGATTCGACAGTTTTGATTTTTGATCTTATTGTTAAGATCCGAGTTCATTTAGGTTACGAATTTAACAGGGCTGATAATGTCGTCAATATATTAAAACATTAGAGAAACTTGTTTAGAGACATGATTGTTGGCATCCAATTGCAAATATGAACTAGGATTTGATACAAATACATCGATATGAAATTTTGTTCACATTTTTTATTAGATTGCATATATTTACCATACGAATTATTACTTGCAGAAGAGAATACTCAATCATCCAGAAATGGCACCTACATTCTATGTTGGTTCAGAAGCTGGTCTCAAGAAGCTCGATGAGTACCTTTTAACCCGTAGTTACATCACTGGGTGAGTCAAAATTACCATCTGAAAAACATCTGATTGATTCTTCATTTCTCAATGAAGATTACTTCTCACCATTGTTATCACAGGTACCTAGCTTCAAAGGATGATCTCACTGTTCATGCTGCTTTCACAAAACAACCATCATCCCAATATGTCAATGTATCTCGTTGGTTCAACCACATTGATGCACTTCTAAGAATCTCGTAAGTTCCTAACATCTTAATCCTCATTTTCTTTCACACTTCATTCAGAATCTTTACACATCACACTTCTTTCCAGTGGTGTTTCTGCTGAAGGAAGTGGCGTTACTGTTGAGGGATCTGCTTCTTTCCCTGAAGAAGCCATTGCAACCCCTCCTGTTAATGGAACAAAGGTAAGTAAGTTTCACATAAATTGCTTAATGATTATACATTTGGTTTTGTTGATTTATTCATCTTTTGTATTACATTTATTAGGCTGCAGTTGATGAAGATGATGACAGTGATGTGGATCTTTTTGGTGAGGAAACCGAAGAGGAAAAGAAAGCTGCTGAAGAACGTGCAGCAAAAGCAAAAGCATCTGGAAAGAAGAAAGAATGTGAGTTCAAGATACTTTGTGCTCTCATTTTAATCTTTAATTTTACCATTTAATAGTTTGACTGACTTTGTTTCTGTTTATATTATATGATTATCAGCTGGAAAGTCTTCAGTTTTGATGGATGTGAAACCATGGGATGATGAAACTGACATGAAGAAGCTTGAAGAGGCTGTGAGAAGTGTTCATTTGGATGGCTTGCTTTGGGGTGCATGTATGTTATTCATCTTTTCTTTTTTTTAGTAAAATGGGAAAATGATAGATGATTAATGATATGATTTTGGGAATATTTTTTGTTATGATTGCAGCAAAGCTTGTTCCAGTTGGGTATGGAATCAAGAAGCTTCAGATCATGATGACTATTGTTGATGATTTGGTGTCTGTTGATACACTTATTGAAGAAAGGCTTTGTGAGGAGCCCATTAATGAGTATGTTCAGAGCTGTGATATTGTTGCCTTCAACAAGATCTGTAAGTTTATTGTTTTAATTAGATATCAAATATTGTTTGAAGTTATATGATGATTGATTAATTTGCTAATGTGACTGGTTTTTGTGATTGCAGAGATGTGAGGTCATGGTTTATGATTTTCTTTGATCTATCAAATGGAAAACCATCTATCGGTTTTATCTTTCCAATTTTGATTTTGTTTAGTGACTATGGTTTTTTGTTGGAAGACTCGTTGATTCTGAGAAAGAAATGAAGTTTTTGTTGGATTTGTCTTTATGGTTGAATTATATTTGATGCTAATGCGATAAGAAAATCTAAGTTTTATCAAATCTCAAAAAGGTATTGTGAACATATTTAAATGGATGATTCTATTGATACAATTACAACCCACTACTAAATGTTCCAACTCCATTTTAATTTTTTTTAATATTTATTTTACTAAACATGCACCCTCTAATTTCTTATTGTGTATCTCTTGATTTGATTTTTTTTTTTTTTTTTATCCAATCAAAGGTGTGAATAATAGCACCGATTTAAGCCAATGTTGTATGATGTTAGGTTTGTGAAAACTATAAATTTATTCAAGAAGTTTTCTTGAATCCATAGAAATAGTTATAAATGAGATTTGATATCGTGGCTGGTTGTTAGTTAAACAGAGGCAATGTTGATTAGATTTTCAAATGTTACGAGATTATTTTTTAAAGTTATGAAATTGATTCTAACTCAAAACTCAGACTTTTAGTTCTGTCATAAATAAACCAAGACTGAGTTACATTAATATTAGAGTAAATTACACGAATGGTCCCTATGGATTAGGGTAATTTGCGTATTTGGTCCTTAATTTATTTTTTTAACTCGGAAGGTCCTTAATGTTTGTTTTTGTTACGCGTTTGGTCTCTGTCTTACCTAAAAAGATTATTTTTCCATTGATTTTTTAAAATTTATTTAAATAAACACACCCTAACCTCACCCTTCACCTTACCTTAGATACCCTATCATTTTTCTTATTTAAATAATAATATTTTTATGTAAGATAGGGACCAAACGTGTAACAAAAACAAACAATAGGGATCTTACGAGTTAAAAAAATAAATTAAGGACCAAGCGTGCAAATTACCCCAAAGCATAGGGACCATTCGTGTAATTTACTCTTAATATTAAAAAGATCTTTTTTTTTCTACAAAAATGCATATCAATTACTTGTACCGTATAAACATTTAAAAAATTACGAATACTAGGTTTGAATGGGAACAAAAAATTGTATTTGTATTTTTAAAATATCATGTTTGTTTAAATTTATTTTTTTAATCGCTTTTAGTATTTATAATCAATTTAACTTAAAATGAAAGGCTAATTGACCAACTTGCCCTTTCAATTACACACGACACATGCTGGAAAAAAAAAGCTTCATTCAACGTCGCCTTCAACAGCATTTGTACAGCAAAGAAGCGGGAAGGGAATTAAAGCTGGATCAAGTAATTGAACGTGAAACATTGACTGATATTGTCAGTTTTGATAATTGATCCAATCATTTGGCTACAATGATCCATCTTCTTAATTTCCAGACAAATTACTACAATCATTTGTTCTTGAAATAAGTTAATTAGTTCACCTACTAGATTATACTTGCATCTTGAACCAAAAACATAATTATTTCTAGAATTAGGTACCATACTACCATATGAACCATAACCAAGCATGATAAGAACTGAAAAGGAACCCAAACATCATATGCAGACAAGATGAAGAAGCACATAACTTATTACAAACCAAAACGAAATTTGCCAAACTAGGGCTTAAAATTACATCTATGAAAGTAAATGATCAAGAAATTGATCCACTCGATTGACGTGCTTAAGAAATTTACGCAGGCTTCAAACGTCCATTTGATTAAAAAATATTTAAAAATAAGATTTTGGATAAATATGATATTTTAAAGGTTAAGAAGGACAAATATAATATTTATGTTTTAAGTTAGACAAATACGATATTTTGTTGTTTAACAAGGATATACACGAATTTTTTTCTAACTAAAATATCCAAATAAATGGCCATTTTAATTGAAACCTTAACAATATGATCATGAATCTAGAGATTATACAACAGGATTTCTATGGAAAAATAATAGAGAATATAAGTAATCTAACCACATTCAAATATGTATTTGAAGAAAACAACCACCATCCATTTTAGACCAAGAAAAAATATTTTTTATGACAAAAAAAATGTAATTCAGACTGAATTCCGAACCAATCTTTCAGATTTCAGACTAAAATTTTGGAAAATGATGACATTAAACACTTCGAAATGTAGCAATCGAAAAATGATGACATTAAACACTTTATTGAAAAATGATGACATTAAACACTTTGAAATGTAGCATTCGAAATCCCAAAAAGTATAAAAATATTTCTTTGAAATTTTTTTTGGGAATATAAACAATACTATGATCGGAATGAAAACATTCCAGAGAAAATGATTATTTTTAAAAAACTGAAAAAAAAAAGATATTTAAATAAAAAAAACTCATTTATAATAATAGTTAGCTTATTTAATTTCCAAAATAATATATACACAAAAATATAGAAATTCAAAACAACAAAGATTAATGATCACTAAGTAAGTAAGTATTTTGAGATTTGGCCGGGTGAATCACTACTACAAGAGTAAATTACATGAATGGTCCTTATGGTTTGGGTTAATTTACATGTTTAATCCCTAACTTATTTTTTAACTCGAAAGATCTCTACAGTTTCTTTTTATTGTACGTTTGGTCCCTATCTTACTTAAAAATACTAGTTTTCCCTTGATTTTTTAATTTATTTAAATAACGTGGTGTAGGTAAGGTAAGTTAAAGTGAGATGAAAGTGGGGTTGAGAGTTTGTTTATTTAAATAAATTAAAAAATCAATGGCAAAATAGTCTTTTTAGATAAGATAGAAACCAAATGTGTAACAAAAACAAACAATATGGACCTTCCGAATAAAAAAAATAAATTAAGAACCAAACATGAAAATTACCCCAAATCATAAGGACCATTCGTATAATTTACTCCTATACAATAATGTAAAAGTGAGTAAATCGTAGCACAATTTACTCAAAAATATCAAATATGATGTCTTCTAGCCCAAAATTCGTCCAAGAGAGAGTTCTCACAAGATAAGTTAGGACTTAGGAATCGATTAAAACCTAATTTCCCGATTAAAAGTATTTAAATGACTTCAAATTTTCAAAACTCTGTATGACCCTGCATACTCGGTGCAAATTTTTGCATGGTTATACAATCCAAAATAGATGACACTTTGTATTGTGCATGACCATGCATGTTGAGTTTCTTTCTCATGTCTTTTTATCTTCTTTAAAGCATCTTCCTTTTTATTTATTTTTTCAATAATCCAAGCTTTTTATCCATTTTTCCTCAAGTCCAATCTTTCGATCCTGAATCCTGCAAATCGAACCATGAAGCCGAACTAAATGAAACCACAAATATAAGCCTCTAATCCAAAGATGCCCTACAAATATGATTATGTACATGAAACGATGCTAAATAATTTAAGTGATCAAAGTTGCAAAATAATGTTACTTGAGGGGTGAAAAATGTAATTATATAGAATAAAATGAGGATTGTTTTTATAAGTTGCTGCTGAATCCTTCTCTTGAGTACGTCTCCACTCTCCTGGTGATATCTGCTTTCTCCGGCTAGATTTCTGAACTTCACCGGAGCCGTTGTGTGAGATCGACAAGGAAGCAACAATATGCCGAAGAGGACGACTCACACATACTCGAGCGAGGATGCAGCGCCAGATGGACCAGATTCCGATCTCTTCGTCTATTACTGCAAGCATTGTAGTTCTCACGTCCTCATTACTGGTGAACCTCTCTCTTTCTCTTATGTAAAATTTATGTATCTTAGTTCGTAATTCTATTTTTAGTATATTGTTCTATGCAAATTCCTTTGTGTATATTGTCAATTTGATCGAAACAACACAATTCGAAAAGGAAACCCTAATTAACTTGAAACGAACCAAAAACTGTTGCTTTTCGGCGAAAGTTATACTGGAAAATTCGAAAATCATAGGCTTTCTTCTCTTAGCTTACTTCAAATTACATTCCAACTCCTTTTTTTTCTCTGTTTTAGACCTAGTTCTGAATATGATCTTCCGCATTACTTCACCATTTGGCTCTACAATTTTCCCATATACTAAAGTAAGATTGTAGATACGCAATTGCAGAAGATGCCCAAACGAAAAACCGACAAAGCATATGCTTTGGACAAGAAAAAGCATCTTACAAGATTGAACATAAATGAAGCCGGAAAAATTCTCCTAAAGAGGTAAGCTTTTTACACTCCTTTGGCACCTGTGAAAACGTAAACATATCTTAATTTATTAACAACTAATACTGAATTTCTTATAGAGGTGAAGGGAAATTAGAAAAGCAATTTCGTATGAACTGTATAGGTTGTGGACTCTTTGTTTGCTATCGCTCTGAAGAAGACTTGGAATCTGCCTCTTTCATTTACGTTGTTGATGGTGCACTTAGTACAGTTGCTGCAGAAACTAATCCCCAGGTAAACTGTAATTGTAATTTCCATGGCTCTTGCAATACAACTCAGAAGAGTATAAATGATAAGGTTTAGGAAATTGGACCTTATTGGAAATCTTGTTTAAATGTTCAATTTAGGGTTTTTATATTGTTTTATGTTACAGGATGCACCTGTGCCACCTTGCATTTCTCAGTTAGAAGGAGGACTTGTCCAGGTGGCAATTGAAGTGGAGGACAGAGCACAACGCTCAGCAATCACAAGTAAATCTATATTTTTAACAAAATTGGTTTGTGTTATAAATTTATAATAATACATGTTTTTTTTTGAGCATATTTTTGTTTTTAATTTTTTGGTAGGAGTGAATGCTGATGATGTTAGAGTTACTGTGGCTGCACCTGCAGCACGTGGGGAAGCTAACAATGAGCTTTTAGAATTTATGGGGAAGGTTTGTTTCCTTTTTTATATTTTTGTATTTTATTGTTTAATATTTGAGTTTTTTGAGCTGTGTTAGGTGAAGAATATGATATATGTGATGTGATTTTGTTGTGTTGGATTAGGTGTTGGGTTTGAGACTAAGTCAGATGACACTTCAGAGAGGGTGGAATAGCAAGTCTAAGCTTCTTGTGGTGAGTTGAAACAAACTTTTTTTTTTTGTAAATTCTGTTTGTTTATTATGAATTTTATGTTGTAGTATTTTGTAGTATAAAAAAGATGGATATAAGAATCGGAATTTGATGGATATATTGTGGAACAGGTGGAAGATTTGACAGGAAGACAGGTATATGAGAAACTGCTTGAAGCTGTGCAGCCTTGATCTTTATGTGTAATTGCTTCATGTCAAATGTGTGAGACATTTTTTTTCCCAAAAGACTTGTTGATTTACAATTATACACATTTTGTACTTTGATTACTTATTGGTATCAATTTCGATGCTTTTTCATGGGTGTGCTTCATTTCATAGAATGGGAAAGTGATAAAAACAGAGTAACTTCCTAAAGGGACATAAAATATGTTTAGAGTAACTTTTTAAGGAGACATCAAAATAATATTTTTATAAATAAATATAATCAATTAGTTCACTTTCTTAATATTTTCTTTAGATTTTGACATCTGTCTTGATCTTGAGATAGTTTTATTCTACTTTGTTGAATAAACCAAACAAGAAAATAAAATATAACAACTCATTTAGGTATTTTATTTCGTTGTTTTGATCATTTTATATGTGATTTAGTTCCATCATACAAAAATGCTACAATTCAGTCTTATAATGGTGAGCTCTCCTATTATACAAAACGAAATCTAACGACTGAATGTTTTTCCACTTCTTTTTCTATTGATGATTTCACCGGTGAATGTACAAGGTATATATACATAAGATACAATGGTACTCCTATATACAAGGTTTCACTACTTCTCTATTTGATCAGACTTTGTCTATTGGCACATGCTGAATAATACACTTGATTTAGAGAATCGTTATTCTCCCCCCGGCAAGCACATGTGCGGGAGGAACTTGAAGCTTATGACATATCTGACGAAAGCCATCTTTATGTAAGGGTTTTGTAAAGATGTTCGGTGTTTGATCAACAGATGAGACATAGCTGATGTGAAGCGCTTTGGATTTAACTTGTTCTATAACAAAGTGAAAGTCTAAAGCAATATCTTTGGAGCGAAAGCTAAGACTCAGTATTCAAATTCTGTACTTGAGCGAGTTACAACTTTTTGTTTTCTAGATGTCCAACAAATGAGGTTGGGACCATGATAAATGGCAAAACCATATTGAAAGCGACTGTCATCTCTATCTGAAACGCATCTTGCATCCGAGTAGGCAATAAGAGAAGTTTTTTAGTTGGGGAGAAGTGTACAGCATGGTGAAGGATCTAGTATGGTCAAGAATCATATTAAAGTGATATTGCTAATTAACAAATGATCATAAGGGTTACACTAACAACAACTTGATATAATTGATTATTTATTAGAAATTAATTTTAATAAATATTCAATAAAACACTTATAATTAAATTGGAAATTATTTATTTCATGGAGATGATAATTTTAATTAGCAAGTAACATAATATATCATATGATATGATTTATTAAGTCATGTATAACATTTTGGACCAAAATGACTTGTTGTCTTTTACAATGAGCAGCTTACTTGCATGCTAGTGATGTGTTTTTTATTATTAAAAGGAAAAGAAATCAAACATGGGAGACATGTTTATGACATATGGAAACATATGTGCTTAAAGTGTTAAGACCTAATGGTTAATACATTCGCTTTATGCATATAAATAAGAGGCTTGCACCATTTTTCTCCATCTCAAAACCGTAACTTGCATGGTGCAAGTTACTCTCTTCCTTTTGTTCTTCTTTTCTTTAAGAACACTTGCATCTTCAAGCCGTCTTTAAGTTCATATTGATTATGAACTTAAAGCTTAAGGGTTTAAGAGTTTTGGACTGGCATCTACATCAAGTTGAGTCATTGTTGGTGTCTCAAAGGTTCCATATTCTTCATTAACTTCCAAGCCTCCCAAGAGGACCCAAAGAATTACAAATGTTGTTATTTCTTCACCTCTTTTGTGGTGATGTTTTAATCTTTCTATAACTTGCAAGAAGATTTATGTTATTTCAAAAATTAAAGTCTTCTGTTGCCATATTTTTCAAGTTTATGAAATTATTTTTGAACTAAAACCCAACACATGGGTGATAGTGCCATGTAGATATCGTAAGATGCGTTTGACAACTTGCCAATGAAGAGTGGTGGGAGCATGCATGTATTGACATACACGCTTGACAACAAATGAGATGTCAGGACGGGTAATTGTTGCATATTGTAATGAGCCAACTAATTGTCTATAGAGCTTGGGATCACAGAATGGTTCTCCATGAAGCGTGAGACGAGATGTAGCATCAACAGGAGTAGAGATGGTGGTGGTAGAGCTCATATGTGTGCTATGAAGGATGTCTCTGATGTAATTTTCTTGATTGAGAATGAGAGCAGTTGGAGAACGTGTGATGTTGATACTCAGAAAATAGTGTAGAGATCCCAAATCTTTGAGTGCAAACACGTGGTCCAATTGTTAAATAAACCTTTGGATGTGGGACTCATTTGTGCCTGTAATGATGGGATCATCCACATATACCAGAACATAAATAACCTCTAAATTGGACATGTAACCAAACAGAGATGTATCAGAGTGACATGCACGAAAGCCTTGTGTGACTAGATATGATTTGAGCTTGGTAAACGAAGCTCTTGGAGCTTGTTTTAGGCCATAGATAGCATTGTGGAGTCAAAAAAACATGTGTTGGATATGTAGCATCTTGAAAACCACAAGGTTGCCGCATGTAAACGTGTTAGTGTAGATCACCATTTAGAAAGGCGTTATTGATGTCTAGTTGGCGAATGCACCAACCGTTTGACATTGAAAGTGAGAGGACCAAGCGGATGGTCGTAGGTTTGATGCTTGGACTAACTGTGTCAAAATAGTCCACACCTTCCTCCTAACTGAACCCTTGTGCGACTATGCGTGCTTTGTATCGATGAATAGTACCATCCAATTGTCTTTTGATCCTGTAAAGCCACTTACAACCTACCAGATTAGTATTAGGAGGACAAGGGACAAGGGACCACGTCTTATTTTTCATAAGGGCATCGTATTCATCTTGCATAACATCTTGCCAACACTTATGTTTAAGTGCTTGAGTGAGATGACGAGGCTCATTGACTAACATAAAGGAGAATGCTTTGGGTTTTAAGGAGTTAGTTTGAGCACGAGTGACCATGGAGTGATGGCTTCTATCAGCCTTAAGAAAGTGAGAAGGGATTGTGGGAGAGTGACAGGCTCTAGATATGATAGTAGAGTTGCGATAATGAGGGATGGAAGGCAGAGGGGAAGTTGGTGGAGTAGGAACAGTGAAAGTTTCGGGAAGAGGGGAAGAGGTGGACTCATGTGTAGGAGGCAGCGAGACAGAAGGGTTTGTAGCAACATGGGCCGAGAGAGTTGGGTTGGTGTCCACCTGATCAGATTGGGCTGAAGGTAGATTTGTAGACACTAGAGGAAATGATTGAGAGAAAGGGAAGACGTCTTCATTAAAGATGACATGACGAGGTATATAAATCTGTCTTGAAGGTATATGGTAGCATAGATAACCTTTGTGTGTGGGACTATAGCCTATGATTATGATTATGTAGATATGTCGAAACATTACGATATTTGATGGGAGATACCATGATTATGTAGATATGTCGAAACATTACGGTATTCCCTACCCCAGTCATTTTAAAGGATTCTAATAGTACAATTGAATTGAGTGTGAATCATATTGCGAAATTGAACAAAGATACCAAAAACCTGAGATTTGTGAGATAGAAAGTATATCCAAACATATTTAGTGCAATCATCCACAAACAACACAAAGTATTTATTTTCTATTCATAGAAAAAGAGGGTGCAAGACCCCACACATCTGAATAAATCAAGTCAAAAGGCTTTGAAGATGAAACATGAGTGTGAGTAAAAGGGAGGCGGTGACTTTTGCCTAATTGGCATGATTCATAGACAGTGGGAAATATGTTTGAAGAAGTCAAGAGGCTTGAAGTGCGAGAGGAGGCGCCGAAGGAGAAGAGCGTGTGGATGAGCGGGCCTTTGGTGCCAGCCATGTAGAGTGGTTGTGACCCCAGTGAGAGCCATGGTTTTAGCAGTCCTCGTTGAGTAGAGTTTTTCCCTACAAAGACTTAACATTACAATGAGTGGGCCAAAATTCCATATACACATTAAAGCAATTTTAGTGAATGCAAGGATGAAGAACCAATATGAATAATAGGAAGATGGTTACCATTCCCGACTTGTAGTTTGTCCGTACCATTGTATTCATCAGTGAGATGCAGTTTATGAAGGTCTAGTGTAACATGGTCTGTAGCTCTAGTGTCAAATTACCACGAGGGATCCACAGTAGATGGACTGTGAAGGTGGACTAAATGAGCCTGAGGTTGAGATGCTCTTGGGTTGGGCTTTTTGGACGGATAGTCCGTTTGATTACTGCGCTGCCAGCAGTCGATGGCCTTATAACCGGGCTTTTGGCATATCTAACGTTGGGGACGAGGCCGATGACGATCGTCATTAGAGCAAGATCCTGATAAAGACCCAAGATTGGAGTTGGATCGTGGTGAGGAACGATTGAGATTGAGAGCCAGGGTGGTGTTCGTAGTGGGAGGCCGAGTTGGGTTTTGAGCGGCTTGACGGAGGAGTTCTTGCTCCAAGCGAGATTATTCTTCCTGTAGTAGCAGTCCTACAAGATCATCGACTGAGTCTTGTTCATAACGAATCATGTCAACAGTGGTGAATGGGCCATATGAGACATCAAGATCACGAAGAATAAGGCCTATTAGGTCTTCATTGGAGACAAGATACGAGTTCTCAACAAGGGAGCCAACAATTGCCCTTTTCTTCTCCACATACTCAAGCATGGTCATGGACCCTTTGACAATCGTTTGGAGATCAGTCTTCATTAACATACGTCAAGCCTTAGTTTGGGCGTGGAATGTTGTCAATAGCAGACAAGGTCTGTTGAGAAGAGGAGGTTCGGGCTACAATTGCAAGAGATATTTCAAAGAGCATTGATCGTAACCATAGAAGGACAAAGCGATCACGCTTTTTCCACAATTGAAATTCTGGGTTTGGGGTGGTGGTGACAACACCTTTATCATCTGTTTTTGAGATGACTTCGACTGGTGGATTCGGGGAAAGCACAAACTCATCTAGGTCGAAGGTTTCTAGGGTAGAGATTATGGTCGATCGCCATAGAGGATAGTTTTGTCGATCAAGCTTGATACTTATTGAGGGAATCTGGAAATTGAGGGGCGTTGAGCTGGTAGCAAGACCAAGGAGTGAACTATTGTTGGCCATTGAGTCGGTGGAGGATGAGTACTCAAGGATGAGTACTCAATTACACTCTGATACCATATACAAAAAGAAATCCAACGACTAGATGTTTTTGCTCTGATATCATATACAAAAAGAAATCAAACGACTAGATGTTTTTGCTATTCTTTTTCTATTGATGATTTCACCGGTGAATGCATACGCTTGGCCCAACATTGGATTTGTTTGAAAACAATACAACCAAGGTGGCGTTCAGTGTATTTATGTACACAAAGGTACTCCTAAATAATACACTTGATTTAGAGAACTGATATACTATAGCGTGATGAAATTTGTCTAAATTCATATAAAATTCACTAGTTCAACGACTGGATGTTTTTGCACTTCTTTCCAACTTCTTCACAAAACAGAAAAAAGGCACATGACAATAGTTATTCTTACATTACAAAGCTGCAGTAAGGTTTTGGGAAATGTCATATTCAGCAATAATATACTGTTTAGTAAATGGAAGATTCTTGAGGGGGTTTGCAACATTGTGTACAAAAAAGCCACAAAAAGATCAAAAGCACTCAACCAAAAGGTTTTAATTTCATAAAGCATCATCATATCACCTCATAATAATAGAACACAAGACAAAATCTTTAAAAACAGAAACAGAGTTTTCAGATAATAACCAAAACAAAAACTGAATCCTTTCTACTCAACTTCACTTAAGCTTGGTTCTTCTTGGTTCTAGGTGCCAACTGAGTCTCAGGCTGCAACATCCACAAATTATTCATAATTAGCCAAAAGAAAAACCGAACAAGAAAAAACCATCCACATCAAAAATAGTGAGTAAAAAGACCAGACAGCCCACCTCCTTTTTAACAGGCTCCTCTTTCTCAGACAAGGTCAATTCAATATGGCAAGGAGAAGACATGTAAGCTGAAAAGGAAACACACGTTTCCATTATCATTCATTCACGCAATATATATAACCCCAAAATACTCTAATAAACGCAAAAAAAAGAAAAAAGGTGAAGGCGAAGGCGAAGGTGGGTGACTTACGGTTGATTCTTCCATGAGCACGGTATGTCCGACGCCTCTGTTTTTGGGCTTGGTTGACCTGGATATGGGAGATGTGAAGAGCATCGACATCCAATCCTTTCACCTAAAACCAGTTTGTAAACAGAATAAAAGTTTATAGGTTAGAATTTAAGAAAAGATTATGTAAAGATGGATGTTGATGAACTGTTAGAGATTGTTTACCTCTGCATTACTCTCGGCGTTCTTTAGAAGATCGAGAATGAACTTTGCAGATTTAGCAGGCCAACGTCCTTGTCCATTGGAATGACGATTCTTGGCTTGTGCAGTTCGTCCAACTCCACGGCAAAAACGAGTGAATGGAATCGCTTGTTTATGGACCAAAACATCCTCCAAGTATCTCTTCGCCTTCAACAAAGGCAGCTTTCGGATAGCATGTGCTGTTTCACGAGTGTTCTGAAACATTACATTACAACATGTGTATCAGTGAATAAGATGATGAAAAAAAAAGCTAATTAGGTTAACAATCCTAATAAGTATACGATTACAGTAAAATTTCATTGGTTAAAGTTGATCAAATCACGTTGTGTTGAGGAAATGAAGGAAATGTTACCTTGAAATGGCACCTGAGATCAGATCCCCTGGCCTTGCAAGCTGATGAATATAATCAACAAAACCACAATCTAATTAGTGTATGTATAGACACCTAAAATCAAAATTTGAGTTCTTAAAATCTATTGAAACTACGAATCTAAAGTAGTGGATAGGTTTTATTTTCCAGAATCAAAACATAACTCAAAGACTTACATTTGGTGGGGTTTTCTGGTTCCTTCGAGTACTTCACCTGAGATCATAGCCGACAATAAGAAATTAGCACATCGATATAGAAAAACTCGATCGTAAGAGATGTGTATAGGTGCGCCGGTGCCTGTGAACGCATGGTTTCAGTAAAACAGGCGGCGAAAACTTACCATTGCTGCGGCTGCTGGCGTCGCCGATAAAAATTTAGTGTGTTCTGCGAAGGCCACCCCGAGAAAGAATCTAATGGAGGGTCTAGGGTTTCTAACTATAACGCGTTCTATGTCCTCCTGATTTGGGTTGGGCTGTATACATCCTGGCCCAATTAGTTTTTCTATTCGACTTTTTAACCATTCACATAGCACTATTTTTTGGTGATAAAAATTGTAACATTTAGAATTTATGGCTAAACTTATTGTAACTAAAGCTATTAATTTATAATGTAAAGTTAATGTTTTATTAATAAGGAGTTATCTCATTTGAATATCTCGAAAATACGAGCAGCGTACAAGTATATTACACCTGAGTATCTCGAGATGATATTAGGTTCCAAGTATCAAGAGATTATACATATTTTATATGTGGATGGGGTGATGAAAAAGCATGTAAGAGGAGACCACAACGCACCACCAAGGCTTAGGGTGAAGGGAGTCCTTCCCTTAGGCACATCAATGCCATATCAATTTTTTTTCTCTTTATCTCTCTTTCATATTTCCTAACCTAAAACACAAAACATATGGAAACTCATTCTTCCAACCCATTAAACTCACTCAATTTTTAATTTTAAAATAAATACACACTGATTAAAATTATTCAAAATTAATTAACAAAAACATTAAAAACATAGAAAACCAATTCACAAACTAATTAAAAACTAATTAAAGATCAAGGGTCGGAGCTTACTTGGAAAGGGTCGGAGCTTACTTGGGAACCGGAGCGTGAGATGCATGAGCAGCATCCGGAGTTGTTTTCAGAGTGAGACTTTGAGGGCGAAATCTGATTCTAGTGGGAGAGAATTGTAACATCCGGATTCCCAGATATATTATTATTCATTTAATTTTTGGAGTTTGTGGAGGAACTCGGCGAGTTGGAGCCAAGACTCGCCGAGTAGGGACGCGAATATTCATTCTATTTCATGACCGGACTCGGCGAGTCCATTCGTGGACTCGGTGAGTCCACGCTGTTTAGTGAAGCCCTAATTTCCAGGGCTTGGGACCTATTTAAAGGCCCTTATGGCCATCCATTGTGGCTACTACCCCCATAGAGAGAGTCTCAGATCGTTTGAGAAGCAAGGAGTGACCATTGTTGATCTTTGTGGTGTCATTTAGCAAGAAGAAGGAGGTTCTAGCCAAGGGAAAGCAAAGGAGGTTGATATTCTAAGGACTAAAAGCTAAGATCATTCATTTGAGGTATTATTTCGACTCTTCTTCTGTTTTGGGAAGGATATGTGGTTTTAGGGTTTCTTGTACCCTTGACTAAGTTGATTTGGGGTCCAAATAGTCCCTTCTGGAGATGAGGATTTGTACCTGGACCCATAGAGGTCCAAAGAGCCTTATTCTTCAAGCTTTATGCAGAACAATGGAAGTCATGACCTTGGGTTAAGGTATTTGGGACAAAATCATCAGTTGATGCTTATTGGTTGAGTTATAAGCATCAAGATTCAGACTTTACGTGACATTTATGCTTGGGAAGGCCAGATCTATGGATTAGGGGCACAGATCTAACCACAGGAGATTAATAGAGTTTGTGCATGGCATGAACTCGCCGAGTTGTTCTTGGGACTCGACGAGTAGGGTTAAGGTCCACGCAGATCACTCAGTGAATAGACTTGCCGAGTTAGGGATAACTCAGTGAGTCAGAAGGGGGTTAAAAGACTAGAGTTCAAGGCGGTACTCGCCGAGCTGTTCTTGAGACTCGGTGAGTTGAGTCGGGGTAGCCCCGCGATTCATGACAGGTGTGACTCACCGAGCATAGGATAGGACTCGACGTACCAAGCGGGACAGAGAGTTAGTGGACATGTGTGTACTCACCGAGTCATCGGAGTGCACTCGGCGAGTTGGGTCAAAGTTGACCATTGACTTTTGTTGACTATTAGGGTTTGGTCAACAATAAGGTCCTTGAGTCAAGAGGGGGGTAAAATAGTCTTTTACCCTTCTGAGGATGACAATAGAGAGTCGAGTCTAGCCTCGAGTGTTATGTTTATGAGGGTATTTACTTTGTATGACTAGACGGAGGCTAGGCAATACTTCCACCGAGTTAGAGATTTACGAGACGTCTGAGGTGAGTATTCTCACTATGCCTTACCCGATGGGGTAATTGTATGTGACCGAAGGGTCTTATGTGTATGATGTATATGCAATGTAAGTTATATGTGATATGTTATGTGATGTAAGCATGATGTGGGCCGGAAGGTCAAAATGATACGGACCGGAAGGTCAACTGAGTTTGGGATGGAAATCCCCTGAGACACTTGGATCGGAAGGTCCTATGGCCTAGAAAGGCGTATGTGATATATGTGGTATTTTGGGGAACTCACTAAGCATTTATGCTTATAGTGTTATGTGTTATGTGTTTCAGGTACTAGCGATGATCGCGGGAAGGCGCCAACATGACTCGTACACACGCACACTGGAGTTTAAATATTTTGATCTTGGGGTTTTGTATTGATACAATGTTTTTATTTATGAATGCAAACTATATTTCATGGTTTTTCAAAAGTGAAAAATTGTTCAAATTTTTACGGTGTTACAACGGAGGGAATACCGCCCCTCCCCCCAACTCGTTGCATCTCGTCCTTTGGTTCTCGTGGCCACCGAAACGAAATGAAACGCATAAAAACTTACCGTTGTGAATTATGACCATTTGCAAACGTTCTGCATTCAAACAAAAAAAATTACCTTTTTACCTATATATACACACACACACACACACATACTCATTTTTTAACATTCTCTCTATATTTTTATAAACTTTCTTACTCAAAAAATGGAGCAAACCCCCTCCCCCCGTCATCAAACCCAAACACAATCTCGCCTCTCAGATTTGCGGATTATGAAGGTTATTTCAACCTTTTATCGTCTCAAGGCTCATCGCAAATCCCATACCAAGGCGCCGCTTTCAATCTCGCTGCACCGCCACTACAGTTTTCTAACTCACCTTACCTTCAACAAAATCAACTTGGTCAAAACCCAAATTTACAGCAAAATCTTTTCCCTACTTTTGCTTCGATGCAACAAACAAGCAACCAACCATCACCTACGACACAACAATCGGTTGAAGTGGAAGCGAGAGGTGGTAGGAGAGGGAAAGGGAAAGTAAAATCGAAAGGGAAATCGATAGCGGTAGAAAAAGAAAATGCAGACTTTTCACAATGGTGGATACCGGAGGAGGAATACACTTTGACGGCGGCTTGATGTACTACTTTAAAAAACGATCTTCGCGGAAATGGAATGAAAAAATGAGCTTATTGGGGGACGGTGCTCGACAAGTTTCATGCTATTTTAAAGAAAAATCCGTATCGCAACAATGACATGTTGAGCAGCAAATGAGGTCAAATAACTAAGCGGTGCAACAAATTCAACGATATTTACAACCGACTTGAGGCGCAACAACAAAGCGGAACCAACGGCTTCGATCTGTTCAAACCTGCTAAGGAACAATATCGGGTTGAAATGGGTCATGTTTTCGACTTTGAAAAATCATGGGAATTGTTGTGAGCATATCCAAAGTGGAATAAAACTCCTACATCGTCGGAGGTTCAATCCAAAAGGTCTCACAGTTCTAGTTCGGTCGACGTGTCGGACGCACGGACTAACATCGACCTTAACGCCGACACCGATGAGATCCCGGATGATATCCAAGAGATATCCCCACCACGACGACCGCCCGGACGCGACAAAGCAAGGCGCGCTGCAAGACATGCGGAGGAGGTGGAGACGAGAGCAAAAGAGGTGGCGGAAATGAGAGCGAAATTCGACGAGCATAATTTATTAATTAAAGAAAAATGAGTTGAAATGTCGTCATTTGGAGTTCCTGGAAAGGCAGACACGGAAGAAGCATGAGCAAAAAGAAAGGGAACTAATGACACATCAGTTGTCAAATTCTTCGGACGAACGAGAAGGGTTTGACACCTGTTGATCCAGCGGTGCTACAAGCGATGAATGAACAAATTATGAAGAAATATTTGGGTTAATTATGATTGTTATATGATTTTAGTAGTAATTTGAATGATATTTTAGTTATAATATTAGGTTTCAAATCATGTTTTTTTAATTGTAATCGTAATTTTATATTTTAAATATTATGTCTTTTTTTGTTTTTAAAATTTTATGTTTTATAAAAAATATATTCATGTTAGTGATTAAAAAAATGCAAAAAGAAAAAAAAAACGAAAAAGAAAAAAAAAAGTGAAAAATAAAATAAAAAAGAAAACATATTTATTTTCAAAAAGTTGGTGTTGCATCTTGTTGCCCATTTCCCCACTTTGTGTTATAACACCATTTGTTTTTATTTATGCGGCATGTGAAGTGGCACAACTTGGTGTTGCACCTTGTTGCCCACACCCAATGCCCTAAGGCACTTGTCACACATTACACACTAAACTCATTACATATATTACATCTTTACAACAATGCACACATACTATCCGTTGTATGCAGATATAGCACGTATCAATGTTGTAAGTATTTATCCATATATTTTGCACCGTGTCATCAAGATCATTATCTTTATTCGAAAAAAACACATACGTTGTCAAAAGTCTTGGTACCGTTTCATAAAGCATGTATTGTTCCATGCCTTATAAATAGCCTAGGTGTACGATGCACATGAGAGGATACACAAACCCTAGTACCCTTACATTGATTCTCAGACACATTCTCCTATGAAATACTAACTTCAGTGTTTTCTCGGGTCTCCAACCGAGATTGTTTAATGTGATACCGAAGCCAAGATCAAAGTTACGTTCTAGCTCCATACTTTTTTTTTTTGCACAACTGAATGATTATATATTAACACGTTAACAAAATGCCAACAAAAGGATTACAAATGAATATACATGATAAGGTTTAGAAGCCACTCAACCCAAGGTTCCTATTCCTATACACAAACCAAAAAAATGAATGCTCTCTTATCAAATCCTTCAAAGCATCCCTTTTCAAACTATTATCATAAAAAATGGTACCATTCTAAAGTTCCAAATAACCAACCACATAGTAATTACAATCATCGTCAATGCCAGACATCTAGAAACAGGCAGGCGAATAGTATCAATCCATTACACAACATCAAACACCGCTGTAAAATTCAAAATATTTAGATCACACCACTTTCCTAAAAAAAAACATTTAAAGTTGAGGCTAAATCACAAGAAATAAAAATGGGAACTCTTTACAACGTAAAAAGCATGAAGAGCAAAGAACTGAAGGCTTATCGATACATTTGGCTTCCAAATTAATACAAGATGGGAGTTTATTCGAACCATTATAGTATCATACTTTCATTTTTTTTTTTTTTCTAATTAAACATTTTACTTTAAAAATCTACCCAATTATAGCTATGTCATGTCATCCAAAATTCCAAATACATAACCATTATCACTACTATTAATGTACATTCTCATTTCTTGCATATAAAACCGTTTTCACACAAACCAACAAACATCTAAAATGCAATAAAGAAACAAACATCAACATAAAGAGAGTATTACATTTTCACTTGCTACATACTAAAAACCTAATTCCTTCAATAACAGATCTACATGTACAACTACTAATCTTAACCTCAAAGTCATGGAGCTTAACTCAACCAGTTGCAGACCTCAACCGCATAATCAGTTCATCCTGCCAATAATTAAAGATTATAAAAATATATATATATTTTGAATTCAATAATGCAAAAAAGTTACTACTTGCCTTCTTTCCTTTTAGGGAAAGTCCTCTTTCCTTTAAGAGTGCACGGATTCTCTCTACAGTTAAACTTTGAAGATTTTCAGGTACATTTGAATGTGACCTTGATCCCTCTATACATCAATCATATCAATATCATGTGCGAAAATCTTCAATTAGATATATGAAGAGTGGGACCCACACAACTATATAGTGAGCTCACCTGGCTGAGAACCATGTTGACCATTGGAAGCACCTCTTTTTGTTGTTGCCCTTCCATCCACACCTCTTTCTAAACCCCTAAATAGGACAAAGGAAGAGCAAAAGACAACAAAAATACAAAATACTCAAACATTAAAAACAATAAAAGAAGAAGATGAAGAAGAAGAATTCTATACCGCTTTCTTGAGCTTTCTTTTCCAGTTGCACCTTTTGCACTTGATTCAGCCTTTTGTTGTTGCTTAAGCAAAAGAGATCTAATGAGTATGTTCATTTGATCTGTCTTTATTAACTGGTTTTCTGGATACAGAAAAGAAATCTTTATCAAATGTCATTAAATGATGACGAATAGAATAATATTCAATAACACTGAGAAGTTGTGCTAATATCATCAATTAATTTACATGTTGTAAGGATAAACTTTTGGAAAATACCTGGAGGTGATGTATCATGATCAGTGATATAGACACGCATTCCACCCTGTATAGATGCATTTGAATGTTAACATGAACTCATGGAAAAAAAAAAAAAAAAGGGACAGATGATGATACCAAAAAATAGTATATTACATTCCATGTTTGGGCATACTGTTAACACCAAATTTGATAATATTGAATGTTGTTATCTCTTGATGGATTAGTAATCTTCATGTTCTGGCAATGCAGATCCTGAATCTAATTTTCTTTTTCATGTTCATCAAGAAACTGACGCTAGGTTACTAATTGATAGAAAGAATCTTGAGTGAGAAGACCAAACAATTTATATAGTTTGCATTTCTTGGAATATGCAAATATGCGATCTCACTAGCATATCAAACCCTAATGACATGAGAGAATTGTACGAATTACAATCAGCCAGATATATGCGAATGCAAGAACTTAACAAGCATATGAACTTTAAAAAATTTAAGAACTTGATAAGAAACGTCTAAAGTGTATGGGAAAATGAGTAAACAACTACAATCATAACAGTCGATTCTGATCAGAACACACTCGATTACATTTTGAGGAGTTCGTGTGCCCTACAATTATTTATTCTCTTCTAATCGAGTTTAACACTAATGAACAATCAGTGAAATTGCTACAATCGGGAATCGCATCAATCATAAACACCAAAACCAACGATGAACAATTAAAAATCCAGGGTTTAGAGAGACTTACCAAATTGGAAGAAACGACAGTGGATGAGAAAAGGCCTTTGGAGGGAAGATCAGCAAGGAGCTTGAATGCCCCTTTAGGGTTCTTCGACGGTGTTGCAGAAGCATCCATAGTGCCTAACAAAATCCCTTTTACAAAGTATTTGAAGAAGCAAATATACTAAGGTCGACGGTGGGAAAAGTTTATGGGGAGAGAAGGGGAAGTGAAGCAAATCCGCGTCAATTTGTAAGAGCAAAATACACGTTTGGGGTGTTTGGGAGGTAAAAGAATTTTTTGGAAAAGTTATAAAAAGTTATGTTTCCTAACTTTTCTAAAAAATTATTTTTCCTTCTATCTCAAATTTAAAAGTCACTTTTAAAATATATTATCAAACATTTTTTGTCATTTATCTTTTCCAAAAAGAACTTTTACTCTTTCAAAAGATAAACCAAACACTCCCTTATTATGGTGCAAATTGTTCAAAAAATAATTTGTCTAGAAAAAAATAATTTTGATATATTTTTGGAGATAAATTTCGAAAATCTGAAGTTTGGTCCTTAATTTACAAAAAACCTCATGGATCTCCCTGTGGTTTCAAAACTTTTAACATTTGGTCCTTCTGTCTAACTTCGTCAGCTTTCTACCGTTAAGTTAGAGGTATTTTCGTCATTTCAACACCCAGGGACCATTTATGAAGTTTTTTTTTGAAAAAAAAAGAAAATAAATAAATTTAAAGGGGTCCCACCCATCTCTCTCTCATTTACAATTCCACACGATAGCAACACCTTCCGCCATAAAACCACCACTGCCATCACCTCCTTCCCCACCGGAAACCACAACCCAATCACCTATCTTCCATCCCGTTTAATCACTCAAACCCACCCTCAAATACCACCACTTACTGCCTTCCATTTACGTTTTTCTACTGCCCTTCCCCTTTTCCTTACTACCGAGAAACACCACCACCCCGAAGGGTGGTGGTGTTGTTGTTGTAACCACTGAGAATCGTGTGCTGCCGGATAGAAGAGATATGAGGCAGCCAGAGTCGTCGCTACCCCCACCGTCACCCTCCTTCCATCGCCGACCCACTCCATTGTCGTCATCGATATTGAAAGCCCGGCCACCACCATTTTGCTGCCACTGTGAGTAAATTGGTCACCACCACTTTTGTTATTTTAGTCGATTGTTTCCCTTGTTCGTAAGTTAGCCGAGATCGAAGGAACAAATGGGCTTCTCTGAAGCACTATGTTCCTTACTCCATTCCTGTCTTCCCTTCTTCATTTGAACTGTGCTTTTCTTGATTCCAATTCCATCCAACGAAACACTCAATTCACCTAATACTTTTTTGTTTTCAGATCCAACCTTCTCCATTTTAACAATCTCCATTTGAAGCTACCTTTCATTCTGCTATCCCAAACAGAACCCATCACCACCCCATTTTTTGATGAACTCGTTGACACCCTTTTTCTATCCGAATCCATACTTTCTCCCTTTATCAAACTAAAATATTATTTTGTTGTTGGAGGCTTTGAGACGAAGAAATGACAATTGGTTTGGTGAACGTTGCTCTAATATGACGATGAAGCATTGGGATCCCTTTTTTTATGAGAGAGAGAGAGATGGGTAGGACCCCTTAATTTTTTTTTCTTTTTTTTTTTAACCTCATAAATGGTCCCTAGGTGTTGAAATGACGAAAATACCCCTCACTTAATGGTAGATAGCTGACGGAATTAGGCGGAAGGGCCAAATGTTAAAAGTTTTGAAACCACAGGGACGATCCGTGAGATTTTTGCAAATTAGGGACCAAACTTCAGATTTTCAGAAACCACAGAGACTATTTTTGAAGTTTTGTCATTTTCGGGCAAATGTCGTAAAAGTCTTTAAATTTGTAATTTTTTTATCGGTTTTGCTCAAATTCGTTTTTATATTCATTAATGTCTCGTATTTGTTTATAACTTTTCACTGGATTCCCTCACATCAGACGATTACCAAGGTTAGGTGGATGCCACTTAACCTCATTAATCCGATTTGGAAACCAAGAAACCACACACATCTCCATTATAAGTCTTCGTCCCCAAGAGTTAGTCACGCACATTCTCCCTTTTTCAACAATAAAATTACAACTTCCTGAGCAAGATCTAGCTTCAATGGTGGTTCAAGAAGGAGGAACAAGAAGATAATTACATACGGTTGTGGTGATGTTTGTGGTATCTCGGTCTCACGAACACCAAATAACACAGGAAATGTTTTTTGAGGATGCCATAATTATCATGTAAAAACCTAATTATTTTTTGTATTTGGGACTGCCTATAGAGGAATCTATGTCATTTCTTCCATATTTTTTGTTTGTTGTAGATGGAAGGAGGCGACTGTGATTTTTCAAATGAGTTAATAAAGAAGTAGGGGGAAAAGGGATATGTGTCACACACAGCAGATCAAGACATTGGTATAAGTAATCATAGGGTTGTAATGATGATGGTAGTAATAATGGTTATTAAGATGTAATTTGCATGTATTTGTAATTTGTTAAGGGTAATGCATGACGGGTAATGAAGACTTTTTCATGTATCAACAATGTATTAAGGGTAATCAATAATTGTTACTTCTTTGTAATGTATTAATGGTAATCGATTCCTATTTCTTGTATTTGTTGCAATTGTTTGCCAAACAATGTTACTTACATGTTAATGGTAAGGGTATTAAGGGTAAAGTACAATGGTTAAATGAGAACATTTACAATGAAAGTAGATTTTACAAGTAATGCAATGCTATGATAAATTGTAGAAATGAAATGTATGGTTATTTAATTATTGCATTAATGAAAGTACATTTTGCTCTAATGGTAACATTCACAATGAAAGTACATTGCAAAAATGGAATTTTAGGTTATGCAATTAGTGCTCTAATGAAACTATAATGCTTAAATAGTAACATTCACAATGAAAATGTAACGCCTAAAATTCAGGTATTCGTTTTAACCCTTGAGTTATGTTAAATTTGCAAGTATAGTCCCTGATGGCAAATTCGTAAATCCGAAGTTCTCCGAAGTACATAGGGCGTACTACGAAGCACCTTAAAACGTTGCATGTATGCAGGTACCCAGGGCGTACGCAGCCAAGGTGTAAATCCTAAATTTTGGGATTTAGATCCTATTTAAATTCATTTTTGGCCTCATGTACCTTATTATTCCCGACCTCCCTCCTCCTTTCGAAACCCTAAAGAGTGTTTGTGCATTTTGAAACTTGTTGAGCCATTTTTGGTGTCATTTAGAGCTTTTAGAGTAGAAGGAAGAGCATTGAAGTGGTGGTGTTTAACTCAAGGCTTTGGATCCAACATCTTGTCCCCTTGTGCACCTTGTGGAGGTAAAAAGTTTCAAAATTGATGTAGAAATCTCATGGATCTAGCTTTTGCTCAAGTTGGTTTCTTTTTGGTCCCTAACTTGGTCTTTGTGAGTAGAAGGTACTCTAAGGCCTTTGAGTTGTCCTTTTAGATGTTTTAAGGGGTGTTAAGTCATAAAGTTGGGTTCTTGGTCACTAGTTTCCCTCCATGCAAGTGCTAGATGGTCTTAATGGGTTAAGAGACTAGGGTGTAACATCCCAAAAATCATGACCAAAATTTCATTTTTAATTATTAAATAAACCATAGTTATCAAAATCATTACATCCAAAAACATGATTCATGATATCAAATCAGAGTATCATATCAAAAGACATGTCAGGATATCAGAGTAAAACATAAGGCTAAACATAATGGTGTGTGCACTGCAGTCATCCCGAACTCTTCCCTTTGCTACCGGAAGTACGAAACCAAAACTGAAAATTGTAAGCACGAAGCTTAGTGAGTCTCCCCAAACTACCACATAATATACACATAATCACATAATAACATATCATGGGCCTTGCCCGCTTCATCGAGCCCCACCCAACATCGGACAATGTCCAACATCGGGCCCCGTCCGACATCAGACCGAAATTCGGCATAGGGCCCCGCCCGACATCGAGCAAAGCTACAACTCCGTCTTGTCATCACCTTCATTCAAGGATTGAGAGATAGCTACCGTTCCCATAACATTATTGCCTTCTAATATATAGATCTCTCCACGATTTATCTTCCATTTCATTATAACAAGAGAACCTTTGGTCACTTTAACCCAATCACCTTCACCAGCATACCTTATCCCATTCTTAGCTAAATGTGCCAAAAGAAATTAAATTCTTCCAAACTTCTAGAACCTACCAACAATCTTACTTCCTGACCATGCCTTCATGCATCTTAATCTGCACAGAGCCACTACCTTTGATACTGCTCACCCAATCATCACCCATCTTGACTGAGCCATCCCACTCTTTGAGGGAGTCCAACTAGTCACGATTATATGTCATGTGATAGGATGCTATAGAATCCAAAACCTAAGCATCGACAGAACTTAATGTACTAACAGTCAGTACATCACCATCGTCCCCTTCATTTGAACTTTCTTGAAACACCGCAGCAATGTTAATGCTGCTTGATTCACTATGGAACTTCCCATTCTTCAGTTGTTGACAATTTTGATTGAAGTGTCCATTTTCCTTATAGTTATAACAGTTTGCGTTCGATGAACCTTTAGACTTCGATTTTGAATGTGATCTCCCTCTGTTTCCCCTTTCCTCTCTTCTATCCTTCCTCTCATTGCGAACAAATCGGAACCAGACATTTCCTCTCCAACTAAAAAATTTCTTTTCATTTCCTTGGACATTAGAGAGTCCTTCACATCATTCATAGTGATCGTTGTCCTACCATAGAACATGGTATCAATGAAATTATCATATGCGTTTGGAAAAGAACATAAGAGAATGAGCGCATGGTCCTCATCTTCAATCTTCACATCAACCCCTTATAAATCCAAGATGATGGGATTGAAGTTATCTATATGGTCTTTCACTACTTTCAAACTTTCTGAGAGTGTATAACCTTTTCTTCTGCTACAACCTATCTGTAAGTGAGTTAATCTGGTACTTGTCAAAAAGTTTATCCTAGAGCCGAGAAGTAGTTGTTTGATCCACGACCTCTCTCAATACTTCACCTGTTAAGCTCAACAGAATGGCACTATGTGCCTTTGTTAGAATGACCACCTTTTTTTTTCAGCTACCATGTCTTTAGGCAATGTTGCTTCTCCGTCCAGTGTCGCTGCACATCCTTGTTGAACCAGAATATCCTTCATCTTCACCTTCCACAATGTGAATTCATATGAACCATTGAATTTCTCCAAACAAAACTTGTGAGTAGACATCTTCAATCACAAGAATACAAACCGCAACTCTGATAGCACTTATTAGGAAGAAAAAGCGAATAACAAGCAAAACTATAAGCACACAAGACACATTATTTATGTGGTTCGGTCAAGGTAACATACGTCCATGGGCAGGAGGGGGTATTCTTTATTTTAGAGCTCTCAAACAGAGGTTACAAGTATAATTACATAGAGATTCACCTATCACTCTAGAATTCAAGATACAAAATGACCTAGCATGCACCCATTTTTATACTTGAGGGATTAGACCTAAAACCCTAATGGGCCAAGCTTATTGGCCCATAGGCCCATACATGGTGTCAACCAATCACAATCCGCCATGTAACATCTTTTGGAACATTATTCCATGTCATACAACCCATTGAATCAACAACACACATGATAGAGCACCTTGTGCCATAGTGGATCATCACGATGCACAAGTAGCGCATCATGAACACCAGTGGCCCAACATCCATCATAGTGGCACAACATGTTGTAATCCCCGAGCAATACGAACTTCTGAGCATCATGGAACAAGCTTGAGCGTCATAGAGGACTTCATATCATACTTGGTTCATCAGGGACCAAGATAGTCCATCTTACGCCATGATGGCACAACAAATGTATGGTTGGCACAACAGGCTTCAAGTGTGGTGCAAGAGCTTCTAGGTTGGAGAAACATCACCATCTTAGCACAACAAGAACATGCATGGCGCAACAATTCCATGCTTGGTACAACAACATACCCCATGACGCAAGAGGGAGTAGCTTGGCGCAAGAAGGAATTCCCTTGGCGTAAAAGCATCCTTCTTGGCCCAAACCTTTATCAGATGGCGCAATAAGTTCCTTTGTTGT